AAAAAAAAAAAAAAAAAAACATATCTTCACATTTAGAGTCAAATTCATTTATGATGTGCTGACTTCATGGCAAATCCCTGACAGTGGAATTACACAAGAGGGATGCTCTTGTGACCTGGCCAAAGTGGACTTTCCCCTCTAAACATCAAGGCCAGTGGCATGAGGTAAGGAACAGAAACACTGATGCCCAGTGTATGCCTTGTGTAACCTGGAAGGTACATGGTAGGTTGGTTTTATTTTGTTTCCTTTCTGAAATTCTGACTTCTTTGAGATTATTGAGTGGTAAAAATGGAGGAAGGTGGAATGATGAAATTACTTCATCTAAAAATCAAAGGGATCTTCCCCACTTTTGTTGGGAAGGAGTTGTCCACAACAATCCTGGGTGCAGGAACACCTCAGGTACCTCACATCAGGGTTCAGATGCAGGTCTGGGAGTCAGCCTGCCTGGGACCAGTCAGAGCTCTGCTTGCTGCCATTTGTGTGACCTTGACAAAGAAGTCAATGCCTGGGCCTCAGCTTCCTTACCGTTAAAATGGAAAGAAAAAAAGTACCTGTTTCAAAGGCTGCTTACGGGAATGAAATGACACCTATAAAGCCCGGCACACAGTGAACACTTGGTACAAGGGACCTATAAATAATCAGGCATATCCTATGTGTCGGTGGAACCTAAAACCACTATGGCTCCCAGAACAACGCTCTCTTGTGACTGACCCAGATATACAGCAAATTGACATAAAGAAACCAATACTCAGAAAAGACAGACTTGAGAAAAGTTTTACTCTACACAAACCATGGTAATTCTGGACATTAGCAAAGGTGACTGCCATCTCTCACTTCAAACTCTAATGCATGCTGACTCCGACTAAGAGCCCAGAGCTTGATCAGCCATGAATAAATGAACTCTACTGGCCAGGAAGGAGGAGCCCATCTTAGTCACTCAGCCCTCTGCCTCACAGCTGGCCTTGGTGAGCTCACTAGCCAGGTGTCTATCGTCCAGGCAGAGAGAAAGAGAAGCAGTCACTCTGCCCTCTCGCTTTTTAAACTATACCTCATGTCATCATTCCTCCCATGATAGTTGGCCAAAGGACAGATCTGATTCCTCTCGCCAGACTTTATTTCACAATGAAGCACAAAAACATAACGTGTTTACTATCCCACCTTTGTTGTTAAAAACAAAAAATCACTTAAAATTAATACTGCTCCTTTTGAGAAACCAACCTCAACCTCTCTTTGCCTAATTAGACCCAATAAGAGTATAAGAATAAGCATTCAGCTGGGCAAGCCATACTGGAAAACATCCTCAAAGTCTTAAAAATCAAAATGAAGACCAAATCAATCACAGCACTTCACTCAAGTGGCTTTTGTTTCTCCTCCCTAGTGACTGACAGAACTTATGGTAAGTTTAAAATATCCAATATCTCTACAGTTTTGAGGAAGATATTAAGTTTGCATATAGCCTCTAAAAAAATAATTTTGGGGAGCCTGGGTGGCTCAGTGGGTTAAGCATCTGGCACTTGGTTTCAGCTCAGGTCATGATCTCATGGCTTCGTGGTTTGAGCCCTGCTTGAGATTTTCTCTCTCTCTCTCTGCCCCCTCCACCCCCCCAACTCTTGCTGTCTCCGTCTCTCTCAAAATAAATAAATAAGTAAATAAACAAACAAACTTTTTAAAAAATTTATTTATTTTTGAGAGAGAGAGACCGAGAGAGTAAGCTGGGGAGGAGCAGAGACAGAGAGGGAGAGAGAGAATCTGAAGCAGGCTCCACGCTGTTAGCACAGAGCCTGACGTAGGGCTGGAATTCACAAACTGCGAGATCATTACCTGAGCCAAAAACAACAGTCAGACACTGAACCAACAGAGCCACCCAGGTGCCCCTACAAATAAATAAACTTTAAAAAAAAATACTGTGTTTTGCAGCCATGCATTTGAGATTAATAGTATGATGCTTTTACCAGCTACATCATTCTGGGAGTACACCTCTTCAGAGGAGGCATTTTTCTAGTGGAGTGTAATCCAATAAATTAAAGGGGGGACAGGATGTGATACGGAGTCAGGCGTGGACAGTCACAGGACACTATGAAACTCCTCTCTGGTTGTCTAACACTTTGCCTTACCTGTCAGAGGGCAGAGGCCCTGAGAACGTCATGCAAATTTCAAATATATTCTCCACCCCTCGTCTTCTCACTTTTCCTCCTCCATTCAACATGCAACAGCCTCGTAATGCTAAGCTAACCATTGACCCTCAGAAGACTTACCTATCAGTTTTCTTGATCAGGATGGCCCTGAAGATGTGCTCTAGGGGTGTTTTCTCCCGCTCGTGGGTTGGCTGCACGAAGGGGTGCAGGGCCACTAGTGAGAAGCCTTGCTGATACAGTTCCAGGAGCTGGGCGGGCAGGTCGTGCAGGGAGGCCAGCCTCACTGCTGAGGACCGAGGGAGCTCTGCTGTAGATGGAGAGAGGAGAGGCTCATCAGGGACCCAACAAAACTGCCCGCTCTCCCCCACCCAAGTCCCTCTCCCCTTGCCCTTGCAGAGACCTCCAGGTCACCTCTTGCTAAGAGCGAGTTTATTCCTGTCTTAACTACTGCCTTCAAAGAGAACTTAAAGCAGCAGGTTATTTCCCAACTCCTCTCAAGGCATTGCTGACTGGATGTCTTAAACCTAGAAGTCAGTCTTCTCAGAAGTCACATTGGAAGAGTCATTTCCATCCCCTCCAAAAATAAGAAAAGAAAAGAAAAGAAAAGAAAAGAAAAGAAAAGAAAAGAAAA